GCAGAAAAATGTGGTTTGCAGATAAAAGAACATATTGGACTGTGTCTTCTGGCATTGTTCTTGACTTTCCCCCCTTTTTCCACTGTTCTGTATTTTCTATCTCCCAAGTCTGCATCTACCCATGCCGTCTGCCTGCTAGTTTTATCCTACCCCAGCCCCCAAGCTAACCTTGTTTTAGCCAAGCCCCAATTGCAGTGGGCTTGGGAACTGAGCTCATGGGCCTAAAACTGTATCCATGCTCCAGTAAAGGAAACGATTTGCCCGTGTGGTCCCCAAACCATCTTGCTACCAACCATACTTAAGAGTAACAGAATTATTCCACGTAGGGTCATCTGGTCACAGGTTTGCTTCTTCTTGCCTAACCTTCCTCCATTTCCGTCCGCCCCCCCAATTCCCATGCTGACTCAGTTCATAAGTCTGGTCTCTGCCTTAGTCCCTATTCCTTAGTCCTAACTGATTATCTGTTTAAAAACCCAGATGCCCCAAGAACAGATGAACAGGAGCCAATGGGGCCTAAATGAACTGCTTTGACAGGAAGTGGGGATGGCTATGGGGAATATGATGAATTTTGTTTCAAACATTCAAACATACCAATGTAGGCTTTCAATAGAAAATGTCTATTTCATATTTAGAGTTAAATCACAGGTTCTCAATAAGGTCATAGAAATTTGGAACTTATTCATTTGGAAGTATTACTTGAAACCATTAGAGTAGATGAGATTTCTCATGCAGAGTAAAAAGAAAGATGAGATAATGAGGACTCAGCCCTGGGGACTGTTCAGTTAGGAAATGTGAGAAATATCCTGTTAGAATCTTCAAAAAACCATTCTCTGGGGAAGTCCCTCTTCACGCTCTTTCTAAATGGCTGCCAGAAAGATGTTCAGAGGCACTGATTTCTTATCACCATTAACATTTATTAATCACCAATTTTTAGATTAAAGGAAGAATGGATACTAATGATGGCAGAGGACGGTAATGAAAGTTTTCCATGGACCAAGAAAATCCCTTGTGGAAGAAAAACTTTGGGTAGGTCAAAGAATACAAGGATCTAAGATCCAGAGACTGTGCTTCTTCAAATAAATTAATGCTTTTTCAAAAACCTCCATAATGATTACTTGCTGATACAGAAAAAAAAAATCTTAAAAACCATTATAAATAGTATGATAATTCTTATATTGGATACAATGCTGATATCCAGAAGTCAGGAGTCTTACTATTTAAAGCATTAACCAGTTATAAGATAATGGGAAAAGAGTTTAATTTATAATAGATCAAATAATAAATCTAATTAATTACAATAAATATAACTAGAATGTGCTACATGTTTGAA